CACACACAGAACAACACACACACACACACACACACACACGCAATACACACACACACACACACATATATACATAAACACGTGTCTACTTCAGTACTTTCAACAGCTCGCAACGAATAAGTTAATGGGTTCGGTATTAAACTACTGAAAGGTGTAGTTATTCCGTAGGAAAAATCGATGTTGAAATGGTATTGTCAGAAGCTTTTTGGTCGTAATTCTAACGTATATTTGAAGATAATCCCGATGATGATATTATATGTGGTAATTGATAGTTGGGAGACGTCTGAGGATCGTGAGCACCTCATGTCAACGGATGGGAGGTCGCTATCGAACTATCAGTAATTCCAGATTCCCTGGTGATTGTCGTCCTACTGATAAGAAAAAGAGTAGTAGCCTTAGAGTGGTGGAAGTGTGAATGAAGTAACGGTGAATTGTTGCCTCTCTTCTATTTCCCCGCCCTTCCTTTTCCCCTTTCTCTTTGTCGCCTTTCATTTGTCACAGTCAGGCATTCTTTCCTTTTCGTTTTTCTTTTTTTTTAATTTGTTTAGCCAGCTTGTTTAACGCAAAATTATGGAGTATATTAGCTTTTTTTTGTTAGTTTATGCATAAAGGTCAACGGTCAGGGTGGAAGACGGGAATGAATAATCGTACGAAACAAATGTTGCTGATGTAATTGTCCTTGCTATTAATGTTTTGTAAGTAAGTCCTGAAGTGATTATACTATAATTCGAACAGTTGTCGAAATTTTCAAATTTGGCTGGCAAATAATTGGATGATTAATTAGTATATTTCATTTTATTTTCTTGCAGAAATGCATTTCGAGGTCGTTGTACCGATATATTTGTAAAATAGTACAGTGTTTGATGATCTTTGCCTTTCTTCCAGTCAAAAATATGTGATGATTGTGATGTTATAACGCCAAAGAAACGATACGAAAGTACCGTAATGATCGTTTTTTGTTTTAAGAATTAAGTGGTAATTAATTACCTTCTCAATGACTTACATGGTGGGTTTGAAAATTTGGCATGTTTTTGTATAAGAAAAAGCTGCAAAAGCAGAAGTTTTGACACATTATTTTAGTGTAAATGGCAAAATTGGAAAGGGATTAGTTCACTTTGTATTTTATTGATAGGAATTTTGTGTTTTTTCGATTCCACTTTTCCCAAGTTTTCCTAGAAACTTGTTAAAAGCTTATTCTTCATAATTGGAAATAACTATTTTAAACTATCTATTTTTGTTGATTTCGGGAATGTTTTACTGAATTTAATCATTGTAAATCTCAAATGTGAGTGGGTACATGTATTTCCCTGAGATTTCCTGGATATCATGACAAATGTCCCAGATCTCCCTCTATGTTATAATTAGCTCGTATTATTTACGATATGCATGTCTTATCCACTGCTGCGTTGTACTGAGTGTCTAATCGATTCGGATGCTGACTGATCATTCCTTATATTTAGGAATGGATGAGTTGAAACGTATCGCTTTCACAGCACCATTTCGATATGAGGATGCAGTTCGTTACACCGGAACGCTGCGTAATTTTGCAATATATTTTTCTGTGCTGTATGTGATTACCATTTTCTCTATCAAACTTGTGATGACTCGATTTAAACCATTTCAGGTTTGTCATTTTATAACGGTTGTTTTAACTATGTTTGTTCGATAACAATTTAATTACTAAACGAAAAACAATAGTCGGTAACATTTTATTGGGAAAAAATTTTTGCAAGTACTTCAAATATAGCTTTTGATGTTTAGCTTACGCCAATGTTGAACTTTTGGAATACCTGGTTGGCACTGTTTAGTGTGATGGGATCATTTTTCTCATCAATTGCTCTTTTTTCGGAAATCTACAATCACGGTCTTGTAGGTATGCATACTTCTGCTTTTGACAATAAAGCAACATACTGTTATTTTCTCGATTCAACATAGTGTAAATCAACTCTTCGTTTATTATATGATCAATGGAATCAATGATTCATTACTTTTGCTTAATTTTATGAGCGAAATTATGGTATCAATGAGGTAGACATATGATCCACGGTGTCGACTGGTGCGGATGGCATACATGAGCTGTAACATAACAGATCATGTCTGAATGGCGTGCCCAAGCAAATTGATTTGTATTGCAGCATCGTATACGAAAATAGGCGATTTCTTTGAAGGAACCAGTGGATACTGGGCATGGCTGTTTTGCTTATCGAAATTTGCAGAATTCGGTGATACAATATTAATTGTATTACGTAAGAAACCATTGATCTTCTTACACTGGTACCATCATGTTTTGACTCTCAACTACGGCATCATCTCTTACAGTCACCATACACCATATAACACTTGGATTATATGGTTGAATTTCACAGTTCACAGTTTTATGTATAGGTAAGCTTTTTTTATTATTAGTAAGTTGTTTCACTGCATTCACCGAAGCCGTTTTTCATCAGCTGATTCTTTGACATCATTTAAGCAGCTGGTAATGTTTCCGTCTTACCTTCATTTTCTTGAGCGTTCGGTTTGCTTAATTTCGCAGGGATGCAGGATACATAAAATTGAAGTATATAAGTGGATCTCCCTCTGTTTCTTAAGTGTATATCTTTTTTAAATTGACATCCAAAAGAAATCCAGAAAGCGAAATATCGTTATAAGTGTAATAAAAGTAACAAAAATTTCCGCATTATATTTTCGTACAGATGTTGCAGATCTCTCTACTTGCTGTGTTTTTTGTTATAAATAATTCTTTCTTTTTTTTTACAGTTATTATTTCCTCCGATCAATCCAAATACGTGTACCAGCAACTATTGCACGTTCTATTACGTCTATGCAATTGCTACAGTTCATTATAACGTTGCTTATCCTTATGCATGTTGGCTATTTGATGGCTATTGGTGAAGCTGTCGATGGAACGCTAAGCACATATTTTCTCTGCTTGGGCATGGAAATTTCCTACGTTATACTTTTCGCTAATTTCTACTATCAGTCGTACGTGAAGGGTGGAGGAAAGAAATTCAAAGAAGAGAAAACGGCGATGAAAAAAGATTAGAATTGATGTTTTTTTTAAATTTTTTCTATGCAATATACCATGGTTTTCTGTGCCTGTCAATTGTGGGTCTTCTAAATCTAAATGGATTAGCTAATTTCACAACTAAAACTTCAACTTTTTTTTCACATGGAGCGGAAAATGGACAGAAATCAATCTCGGGATTTTCTTTTTATTGGATTTTGTGAAATTGCATTGTTATTTAAGATCAGTTAATTGTAATAATTCAGGTTGCTGAGCACTATTGGATATAAAAAAAAGGGTGTGAGGGGAGTAATTCTTATAGATTAATGAAAATGGGCGTGGGGAAGCCTATTCCTCGGACAGTTTTATTAGGTGGAGGTAATGTGTAAACAGATCTCTCAGGTCATTTTCTGAGGAGTTTTTTTGATAATACCCGTAGATGTTAGATGCTTTATCTCTTAAGTTTTTCTCGTGTTCCCCATCTGTTGTGGAACATCTGCTGTGGTTCAGTATACTTACTTGTGTACTATTTGTGTCAACATTCTTTTTTGTGATGCAGTGCATTGTGTTATGTTGCTACAGAATCACTGGAAGTTTGAAGGAAAGGCATCTTACATTTTTTGTTGAGAATAGAAATTCAAGACAAATTTCCTAGTTGTAATCGATTTCATAGTGAGAGCTTAACTGCGAGAAGAAAATGAGAATGTGGACAAGTGATACTGATATTCAACGGAAACAGTTTTCGTTGAATTAGTTTCATTCCCGCTTATTACTGGTTTCATCTACTTCTCTTGTCACCATCACTTAGCACTTCGTTATATCGATCATAGATTGAAGCAGTTTTATTATTACAACGCATTTGTTACACTGATATCATACCTGATACAAGCTCATTATAACTGAAATTTTCACATTTTTTCTTGTGTTGCATATCATAGCGAGTTAATATTTATTTTCATCACTTGCACTGAATTATGGATAACTCTGACTGATACATTGATATTCTCGCATTAACAATCCATTAAAAAGAAATATATTGCTTCTCTTTTGTTTTTCTTTTCTCCTAAAATTTAAAATATCACCGATGTTAACAGACTGATTGCATTATTTTGTTATAATTGGCATTGTTATATTTTAAAATCGAACATATAAAATTCGTTCGAATAAAGCTCTTTGAAATCATATCCTCCTTCTGTGTTATACAACGGATGAATGAGTAAATTAACTTTATCCTGAGTAATGCAACTTATTCTTGGAAGGCGAAAGGGGCGGTGATAGGTCGGAAAGGGATTTTGTCCTTGAACATTTTTAATCAATTACAGGAAGGAAGAGGCAAAATGTTAAGTTAGAGGTCATTCCCTTTATATCCACAAAATGGTAAAATGAATCAAAGATCGTTGCTTGTTTATTTGCAGTCATACTTTTTGGAAGGTAAGTTAGATCTAACTTCCTCCCGGAAACCGGTTCCAGTGTATTACACATTGATCTGCCGCGCTTCTCTGGGTCTATTCTCTTCTGGTTTTATTTCTTTGAAGAAGAAAATAATGTGAAAAAGATTGTTACAATTTTTCATTGTACATGAAACTTTTTTGACTACCTGTTTTAGATAGCATTAATACTTGCTATTTCGACCATACTGAAAGATTTCATTAATTTTCAAATATGCATTCCAAACTAATTTCTTCCAAATATGTATTCCCCGTTGATTTAATCAAAATTGCTTTTTGTTTATTAATTTGAAAAAAAAATAATAAATCGTTACATTTTATAATTCCTATTTTTCCTTCCCTATATCTACTTCATTTTATTCATCATAATCATACATGAATATATAGTAGCATCAGATAAGAATATTTGAGATCATTGGATCATGCTACTACTTATAATTTACTTCTTAATCATGTTATAATCAAAAATTTTATCAATTAATCAATGAATTCTTATTTATAATATTTTTTAATTCTTTGTCAAAAGGACAAAAAAAAAAGCAATGTAACTATTTTGTCGTTGCTAAATTTTGGACGTTTTTTTTT